TTCCCAAGAAGGCGAATAACTCAAAATGTCCCAATGAATCTGTCATCCCTATCACTGATGATGCTCGACGGAATGCCCCATAACTTTACAACGTGTTTGAAAAATAGTTGAGCTGTGAGTTCAACCGAGCATAATTTGGGAGTGGGGACAAACGTCGCATATTTTGAGAATCGGTCTACGATAACCAAGATGGCGTCATATTCCCCGACTTTTGGGAGGTGTGTTATGAAGTCCAGAGACACACTTTCCAAGGTCTTGTTGGCACAGGCAGAGGTTCCAAGAGTCCTGAGACTTTGGCTTTCTCGACTTTGTCCTGTTGACAAATGAGGCACGTCTTGGTGTATTGCATGATGTCGTCTCGCATGTTTGGCCAGAAGTACCCCTTTTTTATTAGGGCGTATGTTCTTTGCCACCCATGGTGTCCGGCCCATAAGGTATCAAGACATTCCTGAATGAGCTTTTTCCTCAGTTCTCCCGTTCTTGGGACATACAATCTGTTTCCTTTCGACATCAAGAGGTCTCCCTCAACCCAAAACTGTTGTGTTTTCCCAGCTTTAGCTAGTTCGACGACGACTTTGATCGATGAGTCTTTATGTAAATGTTCTTTGATGACGTCGTGCATCGATCCATCGATCTTACTTGAGTGAATATGGGCTACCATGCACAGGGCCGCATGTTCGCCCTTCCGACTCAGTGCGTCGGCTGCTTGATTACTCTTTCTTGCTTTGTGTTCGAACTTGAAGTCAAATTCGGCCAACGACTCCTGCCACCGGGCTTGTTTTGCTGTCAATTTTGGTTGATCGAAGAAGTGACAAATGACGTTGTTATCCGTCTTCACTACGAACTGCGATCCAAGAGATATTGTCTCCAGACTCGTAGGCAATGGGCTACAGCCAGCATTTCTTTCTCAGAGACAGTGTATCTCCGTTCGGCATCGTTGAGCTTTCGACTTTCGTAAGCGATGGGGTGGCCTTCCTGAATAAGGACCCCACCTAGGGCAAAGTCAGAAGCATCTGTTTCTATTTCAAATGGCTTTGTAACATCTACCAACCCGAGGACAAGACCCCTCGTCATAGTTGTTTTCAGATCTTCAAAGGCCATTTGACAATTATTTGACCATGACCAAGGGTGGTCTTTCTTCAACAGCTCTGTCAATGGGGCGGCTCGTCGTGAAAACCTTTCGGCGAACCGTCTATAGTAGTTGGCTAATCCTAAGAAGGACCGCACATCGGATACGGAAGTAGGAACTTTCCATTCTTGGATAGCTTTTATCTTATTGCTATCCATACTAGTCTGTCCACATTTGACAACATGTCCAAGGAAGTTGATGCATGTTTGTGCGAAGGCACATTTTTCTTTCTTGACATACAGTTGGTTCTGCCGCAGCTTGTCAAACACCATCTTCAAGTGCACTTTGTGTTCCTTTAGGGTTGTGCTGTAAACAACTATGTTGTCGAGGTATACTATGACGAACTAATCCAAGTATTCATAGAAACTTGGTTCATCAACGTGCAGAAAGTGGTTGGGGCGTTTGTCAAGCCAAAGGGCATTACTAGGAATTCGAAGGCCCTATATCTTGTTACACACGTCGTCTTGGGCTCGTCCCCCTCGGCAATACGTACTTGGTAATACCATGATCGTAAGTCCAACTTTGTGAAGTATTTGGCCCCGTGAAGTTGGTCGAACAAGTCGGATATTATCGGCAATGGATATTTGTTGTGTACCGTCACCTTGTTTAAGGCTCTATAGTCTATGCACAGACGCAACGTCTCATCCTTCTTCTTCTGGAACAGTACGGGGGATCCGTAAGGTGCTTTCGCCGGGCGGATGAATCCCGCCGTCAACAACTCATCCAGTTGTTTCCTCAATTCGGCTAGTTCGGGCGGAGCCATCCGGTATGCGTTCTTAGTTGGTGGCTTAACCCCGGGGAGGAGTTCAATTTCGTGATCAATGCCTCGATGAGATGGTAATGTTTGGGGTAAGCTCTCTGGCATTATGTCGGCATAGCTGTTTAGTACCTCCTTGATTTCATTTGGGATAGTTTCTTCGGTGGTTGCTTCTTTCATTAATGGTATGGCCATAAATGTAGGTTCCTCTCGTGCGAGTCCTCTTTTCAATTGTATAGCCGAGATCATTTGAAGGTTACCTGGTTGCTTGATGCTTGCAAGTATTACTGTGGGGTTGCGGTCGGTGATCACCAAGCATTTTGTCAGTGGCATTGGGATAACTTTGTGTTCTAGGAGGAATTCCCTCCCAAGTACCACGTCAAAGTCGTCCATGCGAACTACGACAAGATCTAGCTCTCCTGTCCAATCCCCTATTTTGAAGGTGACTCTTTTGGAAACTTCCACATAGGCAAGGCCTCAGAGTTGACAGCTTACATTTCCCTATGGTGAGTCCCAATCTTCGGGCTTCTTGATCGACGATGAAGTTGTGGGTCGCTCTTGAATCTATCAGAGTGATCTTGCTCAGTCGAGAATTTATTGTCGCATCCACGAACATGAGCCTTTTCTCTATTATCTCATTCGGTTCGACCTTCCGTTGGAGGGCTGACAAGAACTTGAGCGCGCCCATTCGGGGGGTTGTCTTGATCTTCCTTCTTGTCTAGCATAGTCTCGACCCTAGCGTCATTGCTCTCTTGAATGGACACTTGGAGCGTAGTGAGAGAGGCCCAATGAGGACAATAGGATACTTTGTGGGGACCTTTACACAGTATGCATTGTAGAGGCGTCGTCGGGTGGTTCTTTTGATGGTAAGATCCTCGGGATGTCCCCGCTTGGCTGTTATGAGGAGGTCTATTTGTTCATCCGCTTGGTCTGTCGTTACCTATGTTCGGTCTGTTGGGGCTTCCATTTCGATGACCTGGTGGCTTGTATGTTTTGCCCCCAGTGTTTGGGGCTGGTGTCGTTCTCCTTTGGGATCCTGCTTCGTTCCCATAGTCTAGGAGTCTCTCGGCGCAGGCCATTGCAGCAGCTAGGGTTTTGACCTTATTCTCATGTAGATTTGTTTTGGCCCACGGCTGTAACCCATTTATACAGAAGAACACCTTGTCCTTCTCTGATATGCCCCTGATATCTAGCATGAGGGTTGAGAACTGTCTGACATAGTCCCGTATGCCTCCAGTATGTTTCAAGGCTACTAGTTTCTCCATTGCCATATGTCCTACGTTTTCGGGGAAGAATTGGTCTCTCAACTCTTTCTTGAAGTCTTCCCACGAGTCGATGGTGCACAATCCATCTTCGATGTCTTGCACCTTCGTACGCCACCAAAGTTTGGCGTCGTCTATGAGATACATCGAGGCTACAGTCACCTTCTTGTCGTTGGTACAAGCCTTTGTGGCTTTGAAGTACTGTTCGACACCAAAGATGAAGTTTTCCTACTCCTTGGCGTCTCGATTCCCTTTGAAGGCTCTAGGGTCTGGGAATCTCAGTTTGTTGGATCCTGCATTAGTTTGCCCAGCCGTGACGTTCTCCACGGCTTTCATGGTCACTTCAATTCGAGTGCTCATGGTGGCCATCCTTTTTTGGATGTCGTTGATTGTTGTTCTGAATTCATCAGCTAATCCATTGAACAAGCTCATCATTGTATTTTGTAGCACGTCGAACTCTTCATCACGTCCCTCTTTGTGCGCGACAGAGCTATCCATACTACCAGACGGTTTTGGGCTACTTGTAGGAGCAACTCTTTCTTCGAGCGAGGTCACTCGAAACATCAGTTCTGCGATCGGCAACCCATCCAGGCGGTTGCCCATTGTGTCAATTTCTACGACTTTCCCGCTTAATTCGGTCACTCGTGCTTCCAGGAAGCGGAGGGTGTCAGGAACTTTTTTGAGGAACAACAATTCCTCCTCTATTAGCATAAGTCGGTCGGCTTGTGCTTTGGGTGTCGACTTTGTCGCCGATATGTTTTCGGTCTTTGCTATGTCACGGAGCTAACAAAGCTCTGATACCACTTGACACAATCGCACTTTTGAATGCAGCAGACTAGCGATTGTGCGGCACTCACTTTCCAACGACAAGTGAGCTAAGCCAATTTGTTCTTGCGTCGTCTACGGCCAAGCGACGTATGATCGAGCCTCTAGCCTCGGTTTTAAAAAAAGGTTTTAGAAAACGATGGGAGAGAGATTTTAGAAAGAGATATAAGCAAGAAAGAGAGAGATAACAACGGCTTACAATATATAATCTTAGATAGGGGAAGTTGACAACTAGTCATATCCCTATAGTACATTCTGAGTCATTTATGTCTGGCAAGCCTTGAGTCATTTATGTCTTGAGTCATTTATGTCTGCCTACCCATGATATTTTTGAGACCCTAGAACTACAAAAGTAAAAATACTAGAATGAAAAGACATGACAAGGATTTGGTTTGTCATGGGCATGCGGCCATGGGCAACACGCCTTGGACGAGCATAACCGTGACACATAGCTCATACCGAGCACAAGTCATGAAGTCAAGCCGTTTGTGGCATAAAACTAATGTATTGTACATTTGCTACCATTCATTACGGAGTTTTGTCTGCCAAAATGGTACAAGTTTTCACATGCCACTCCACTTTGCTCTCTGCTACATTTCCAGTTCTCAAAAAGAAAAAAGAAACTAACTCCCCTTTCTCAGTTAAACCAATGCTCAGTTTTTTATGTTTTGAAGAAAAAGATTATATGAAGCAAAAGTGACATGATCATAATTGGAACTCTGACAAATTTTGATTCTTCCCTCTATCATTCCTTTATCCATCCATCACTTTTTCCCTACGATTTTCATGTGAACACATCATACGATCCTGACACTCTTTAAGCCATAATTATTGGTTCGATTATTTCACGAGAAAACAAGAGTATGAAATAAAAATGATATAAACTCGATCTTAATGTGCTTTTTCCCTCTCTGAAAGTCTTGAACCGTATATATTTATATATATAATCAAAATCAACCTGATGTAGCAGAGAAGTTAAAGGTCGATAAAGAAAGGGGAAAGAAAAATGCTAGGGATAGAGATTGCGCTAGCGAGAAGTAGTGACTGTTACAACAGGAGCAGAATGAGAAACATTTCCTGGATTGGACGCGAATCTGGATGAGAAAGCGCAGTACTGATAGTAATGTTCATCTAACAAGCCTCCGCAGCCGCTGGTGTCGAAGTTGAGAGAGTAGCTCAAAGGATCGTAGCGGCACTGGAAGGTGCTGCTGCTCTCTCCAGCGGTGCTACGGAGTACTCTGCTGCGTTTCTTCAGTTTGCGCAACAGTTTGGCGAAGCAGTTGTAGTTGGAGGAGGAGGCCTTCCTGGCGAGCGAAGTCGCAGTTACGGCGGCGGAGGATGTGCAAGTTTTGGCGCCAGAGGAGGCGTTGTTCTTCGGCCACCAGAGAAGCCACATTTGCGAGATGTGAGTTGAAGTTGCAGAGCAAAGAGCGGCGAAATGTGGAAAGCGGAAGGCGATGGAGATGGACACAGTTAGAGGGCGTTGAATGTAAAGTCTTGCTTAGTTAATTTATATAGGGACGTGGGCAGGTGTATTTTACGCGCTATCACTGCGCGTGAAGATGAACTTTATCCTTGGATCTCAGCGTGGTTATCAAAGATTAAAGAAGGAGAATAAGGGAAGCCGTTCTTACTTTCTAGTAAGTCATGCGTCCTCCACGTGATCGATCCAGCATTGATAAACCCTAATTGTCTTTTTAATATATATATATATATATATATTTTTTTTTTTTTTTTTTCCCCCAAAATTTGGTAGAATAAATTGAAATTTTAGGGAAGTTTTAATATAAATGGAAAAAGATTTATATTCCATTTTGTTGCCACCATACCGTTTTGAGTCTTTTGACATGTTTTCTATGGGCAGTTTTTGGCTTTTTCCGGACTAATTTGGTATTTTCAGGATAATTTATTAATGAATGATTATGTACCAGTAACCCATAGGAAAGCTGATCAAATTGAGTTGGACATGTATTATATTACATGTTTTTTTTTTTTTTTTTTTTATCATTAAACATGGGCATAGTGTCTCAATGAGGGCCTAAACGAGTGTCATAATGCGACCGAAGATGATAGTGTATCATCTAACACACCACACATAGTGGACATTGAAGAAGACGACTCCTAAGCAAGATAAGGGCATAGGCATGTTGAAGAGTTAGGTAGGGCCCCGAACCTTAAACGTCTTAGAGGGTATGAAAAATAGAAAACAATAAATTGTTAATGGGCATGGGTTGACACAACATGCTCATCTCTAACTTCACTTGGATCCACTTGCATTGCACAAAGTTTCCTCATTTTTTATTGTCTGTAAACATATCCTTATATTACGTATCGACCTCAGAATGTTTTTTAGTGGGTTATTATTTTTCCTTTTTAGTGTTAATCCATTGATTTTTAAATATTAAATAGTTTCAGACCAAAATTTGATCGTATGTTAGCATGTCCCCAATATTACGCATACGTTTGATTATCCACTTCTGCATGTTTTAAGTGTTTGCCTTTTCAGGGTCAATATATATACTCTTCTAACTTTGCCTTTTGCTTTAAAAAATACTCCACTTCTCTCAATTTTGTTTGGGTTAAGTTGTAAATTCATTGGTGGGTGATGATCATACCAGGACTCATATATTGGTTCGCTGATTATGGGCATTAATATCTCAAACAAAACAGGGTATTAATATCTCATAAATGAGTAGACCCTAACCTCTTGGGCTAAAGCATTGGAGGTGGGATTGTGGTTGCCCAGTTCTCTCCATTCAGTCGTTAGCTGTGAATATTCCAAATTTGCGTCTCTCCAAAGTCATCAGCCCATTTGAGGAACGGAATCTAAAAACCACTCATCTTAGATGGCCTTTAGGAAATATAATATTAACAAAACCGAAGAAATACTAATTTGATGTCACAAAAGCATTAGATAATGCACACTGCATCTCACAAGTATAAGAAAACGGAAGCTCATTTTCAATGCTAACTCTAAAATAATAAAAGCCGATGACTCACAAATAGAATTTGGAAAGGTTCACTCCAACTAGAAAGAAATTTCACAAGGTGCATGGAATGTCCTTCCACGGCATATCGCTTCTAGATTTTCTCCGGCATACGAACAAAGTGGTGATACTTCCACGCCTAGGATTCAATATCAAACATACATTATTTCAGAACACTGTCATGAAATGATCGAGATTTTAGTGTATCAAAATATACCAGTTGCATATAAGGGCACTGAATGTGTCAAGAATCCACCAGCTGCAACCACCCAGCGAGCATGGAGTCGGAGAACAAGCAGCCTAGCACTATCTGGAGTGTCAAAATTTGACCCATTGCCATTTTTCACAGGTGCGAACTCTTCTTCTCGTAAGATCTAGTTAACGATACAAAAATGAATCTCAAATACCAAGTATGGTGATACGAACCCTCCTAAAATAGTTTTAAAAAATTGCAAACAAGAGATGCTTCCACCTCAAATAGTGCAGTAGAAGGGGCATAAGGAAATGCATCGAATATGAACTGCTCCATTTTTAGTCCCATTGTATGCCCGTGAATGGAAGGAATTTTTTTCTCCGCTAGATGGTAGCTACAGTTAAAAGAAGCATATGAGCAAGCTCTTTATGATATCTATGATCCGTAGAATCGCTGTTAACTCTAGGAGATGGCCTGGCAATGTAAGGCACAAAAGAACATGCATTGAAGACAAGCATCTTTCTGAAACTGAGCAATACTACATACTAACAATACCTCATTTATCTAGCCCTTAACACGGTTATTAGTCAACCAGTACCTTGGTAGTGAAGATAAATTGTTATCTGGATGCTCCTAAGCTGATGGCTAAGTTACATCAGTTTCATCCTCCTTGGACATTAGAAGGAATGACAGAAACTAGTTATGATTCAGGGAAAGTGAGACAATATTGGAGGGCGAGGCAGACAATAATGCTCTTCATAACAAAATAAGATTTTTTTTTCTTGAAAAAAAAAAACAAATCAGAAACTCAGAGAATTCTTTGAAAACCCTTTTATTTTGCATAAATGAGAGTCTGTAAAACCGGTACACAAACGATCAAGGGCATCTGTGAATGCACGTGTATATAAATAATTGTGGGTATTCATGCATGTTTATATGCCTCAACTAATTCCATGGTATAACCAGTTAACCATTGTACAACAGATAAATCAACAAATTTATTAGAAATGTTAGGTTTTATAGGCTCCAATATTTGATTAACAAAAATGTGAACATGATAAAGTAGAACCACGAGAATATCCAACAAGTTCAAGCCTGAGTCAATATTTTTAATTAACACCATACTAGATTTAAGAAACTTTTTCATATTAAAAAATAATCCAATCTCCAATGGACACCAAGTCTGAAGTAGAAATATATCGCTACAACCTTCAACGGTAAAAAAAAAAAAAAAAATTAGGTTCTATGAACATAAATAAGATAAAAGAATTGTAGATCCTTGTTCATCTTCCGGTTAATTCAACCTTAGCAATCAAAACTAGTAGTGTACTACTCAACAATCTAACAGTAACCATTCATTGAGCATTTCAATCATTTCCTAATTTGAATAATAGTTAAAAACACTAGCAAGGACTAAAACATGTTCTAACTAGAACATCATTACCACAAGGATAGAGAATCATCAAATGGACAATTGGAACCTTACTCTGTTCAATTATAAAACTGGGGAGGGAGGGAGGGAGGGAGGGAGGGAGAGAGAGAGCTACTAACATGCTGTCCTTTTCGAGACCATTTGCCACTTGGTTTAGAAAATCCAATGTAAACATGTGTAAGCACACCTGAAAATGTACAAAAAAAAAAAAAAAAATTAAACATGTTTAAATTTCATTTTGTTGACATTTCAAGTGTCAAAGCATAGAAGATGACTGACATGATAGGTTAGTTGTATTGAGTGCAATTTTCAAAAAGGCTTAAAGATTTTGCTCCATCGAAAGTAATTTTAATCTTCATAACTAAAAAAATTAGGGTATAAGATTTATAAGAACGTATTACAATTTATTATATGGAAAGAATCTGATAAGTCTCCTATTAATTATGTGTATAGGAGTGTGCGCATGAGGAAGAAGAGAGGGGTCAAGGATGTTGTTACAAATTAGTTAGAAGCGGGGAGGTATAGGTGTGGGCAATGCATTCGTGTGATTGGGAGAGGAAGAGAGGGGAAGCTCTGGAATTCTTCTCTTGACATTGTACCCCTTGGTGATGCATAAACTTAGTTCTTATCAACAATGGTATAAGAGCGAGACATGATTGGGAATGGCTACGCACAAGGAAACTCAGATAGAAACTTAGGAAAAAAGAAGTTAGACTGATCTGCGAGTCAATGAAGGAGGTGGAAGTAAGTGTAGGAAATATAACCATACTTTGGGTTCACTATATCCAAGGCTTGCAGACTTTCGATGAATGGGCTTCTCTTCCCCATTTTCTTTCATCCATCTCTCTATCATCAGCAAATCATTCATGGAAGTGGAACATTAGTTCTTCTGATAGTTTTCCAGCACATTCTGTGATGGATCTTCTTGTGACGTAGGATTTATTATATATATAATATATAATTTCATTGATGATTGAAATTTACAAAAGGGATGTATTATCCATGATGTTTACAAAAGACCTTCTCAATTTACAATGAGGGAGGTATAACTATAGGAAGTAAAAATATTAGATAGTTTACACCAAGATATAGCTTGGTAAACGATATTGTCAAAGAGTTTTGTGCAAGCCTATGTCTTTTCCGCGAATATTTCTTTCTTTCTTTCCACATTCCAAAAGAAAATCATGATGAGGTTTTTCCATAGTAGAGTTTTTGCATTCAAGAAGGGATGGTGCGTTAAGGTCATATCCAATAGATCTTTTACCTCCCTAGGAAATATGAGATGTCATCCAAAAATTTTGACTATATATGCATTGCATAAATAAGTGGCTCTGCAATTCGTTTTCCTTCGTGCATAATGGACACCAATTTGGAAATAGTCACGTAGGACATTCTTTTTTTTTTATTTTGAAGATTTTTACTTGTACTAATGGCTTTATGCGCGATTTTCCAAAGGAAGAAATTCACCTTTCTAGAGTGTTTTCCTTTCCATATTGTCTTTGCTAGCATGGGATTAATTACTTTGACATTAATCTATATTCAGCCATTACTCTATATTATATTATATTGTGATGCAAAATGATAATACTTCCATTACTTTATATTCAGCCATTTGGCAAGGGTTCTATCCTCCCAAAATTAAAATCTTCCTTTGGGAGCATAGTCATGGTGGTTCAACCCAATGGATCAGGTTCAACTGCGAATGCCCTATATTTCTCCCTCACCCTCTTGGTGTTACATGTGTCACGTTCATTCAGAATCACCATCTTTTCGGACAATGTTCC